TTTTAAATTTGTAAAACACTCTACTAACTAATATTATAAATACATTTTAGAAATTAATAATTTTATATTTCTTTTTCAGATTCTTAAAACTATAAATTACTTAATTAACTAATATTATAAATATATTTTTAAAATTACTAACTTCCGTATTTGTTAGTAGGTTTCATATATAATATATCAAATTAATTATCTTTTGTTAAGTTTTGATTTGATATTCATGTTGCATACACACACACACATATATATATATATATATAATATTTATCTTTATCATAGTTAACTATCTATCAAATTTTTTCTGAAAACAATAAAATTATACCAACTAACTAAATTTATTTATCAAAAGTCCATTATAGTCGAGTGTCGTTTTAAATATAAATAGTAATGCAACTTTTTAATAAGTATTTGAAATTTAAATAAAATCTTTTTAGTTTTCAAATTTAATACATCTTTTTTTTTTATGAAGATGTGATAATGTTGCTATTACATTCAAAAGTCATGCCTTTTTTCACAAGTTTATTCTTAAAATAACATTTTTTCCTGAAATTATATAGAAGTTGAGGGTGTTATTTGCAATTATCCCTGAAAAAACCAAAGTAACAACCTAGCTATGCGAAATGCTGATGAGTAACTCCACCTTCACATACAGCTCGATCCACCATTACCTTTCCCACGCGCAGGATGTCTCCCTCACTCTCCAACCAATTTCCATGTCCTTTCGCTCCGTAAAACTTTCATTTTCCGTTAACACCTCTCTTTCATCTTCTACAGGCTTCTACACTTCAAGCGCAGGCGCAGTTCCCCTCGTCAACCTCTGGATATTTGAATCCCCACACGATCGCTATCACTGTGCTTCGAATCGTTTTCGGATTTTTAATGGCTTCGATTCGGAGAACGCTGTCGCCCTACAACGACCGATCGTACCAGAATCAGTGCAACAGCCCGTTTTCAGTTCAATCTCCGTCTCAAAAGCTGCTTTTCCACGGCAGAACAACCTTCTCTCCGGTGCGTAGGATTATCGCCGGTGTCTTCCTCCAGAAGAACTGTTCTCGGAAAGGTTATCAGATCTCGTGGAGGAAGTCACTTATCCGCTGCTTTCTCTTCTTTTTTCTAGGGTTTCTGTTGGGCATGGCGCCGTTTAGTAATGATCTTAGTGAGTTCAAGCAAAGCGACAATTTCTCGTACGAGTTAAAGCCTGCGGTGGTGAGGGTTGAGGAAAACGTGGGTGGTGGTTTAGGTTTTGTGGAGGGAACGAAGGGGAATGATGTGGTTGTGGATGCTGTTGGGAGCTCTATAAGTAATGAAGTCAAGAGGAATTTGGATTTCGTGCCTTCTAAACAACTGATTCTTGTGACACCAACGTATAACAGAGCTACGCAGGCTTACTATTTGAATAGGTTAGGGCAGGTTTTGAGATTGGTGAGACCGCCAGTTTTGTGGATTGTAGTGGAGATGAATGCTGCGTCCATAGAGACTGCAGAGATCTTGAGGAATATGGGAGTTATGCACAGACATTTGGTTTGTAAGAAGAATTCTACAGATGTGAAGGACCGGGGAGTCCACCAGCGAAATACTGCAATCGAGCATATTGAGCGGCATAGGCTTGACGGGATTGTCTATTTTGCCGATGACGATAATATCTACTCGCTCGAGCTACTTGAGAGTATAAGGGAAATCAGGTTAGCATAAGTTGTTCTTCCTAGCTAATTGTACTTATCTTTTATTTAAATTTCATTTCTTCTTGTAAGCAATTAGAATATAGAAAAATGAATCTACACATTGTTGTGCAATTTACTTTCAAAGAGAAGGTTAAGTAAAACTGGTAGCTGCTGGATAATTTTTCACTTCAAGGACTGATGTTAGATACTTAGGCATGTAAGTCCTATCATGTTCTTGATTTATCATTGTCTACTTCCATGTTGTGGACACGATGGAATGTTGCTACTCTTTGTTTCTGTACAAGTACAATGTCTAAATTTGATGTGTCTATTGATGGGGCAGGTCTCAGTGATGTTCTTATCCTGGATTCAATGAATATTCTATTAGTTATATGACTTGTTTTTCTCTGCCGTTCCATATTGTCAGTTTTCAGTCTCTTAAGTTTTTAGTATACCACAAGTTGTGTGATGAAGTTAAACTTTTGTACTTCCATCAGTCTACTTTGGTTGGCTTCAGGCTTTCAGTTTGTTCTTCATCCATCAATTTCACCCCTTCCTTTCGCAGCAAAGTTTCCTGAAACTGGAAAACTTATTTAAATGAAACTGAACGCTCGCTCTATGCTTTACAATTCTTGTGGTGCAGTTGTGGTTTCCTTGGTAAAATCCATTGGACTACTTTCTCGCATAGACTTCTTGACAACTCCTCTAGTGCTGCCATGTGACTTTTCTGATGTTGCTAAAAACAGATATGATTTTCAGTTTACCCATCCTTCTTACCTCTTCGATTGTCACTTCTTAATAGTCAACCAAAAGATGTTGGATGTTCCAAATTTTCCCCTGCTTCCATGCTTCTATGAACCTTTATCACATTTTCTCCTCAATATTATTTAGTAATGTGCTGGACTAGCTATGAAAATAAATGTTGCATTTTTCTGTGTTGGTTTCTCAAGTCTGTAACACTTTATCATGTCTGTACTCTTCAGAAAGACTTATTGAGATGCGCAAATATTGAGACTTTGTGTTTGTGGTTAGATACTTATAATGTAAGAAGAGGAACCCATATTGTATAGAATATAGATAACTTTGATTGTACCAAGAGGTTGAGGATGCTCGATAGATATGAACATTGTGGCCGGATAGCTGCTCTAGAAACAGAAAAAACTGATTTATTTGTAGAGGATGAAAAATACATTTTTTTTGCAAGAAGCTATGAGCAAATTTTTGCTTTATTGAAAGACATAATCTACCTGTACCATATATTAACATGCTGGCTACTTCTAGTATATTTATCTCTGTACTCCATAGCTGTCCCTCCATAATAGTTCTTTTGTTTTTGTGTATTAAATGGAACTCCTTTATTTTGAACGGTAGTCTCATGATCCTAGCTTTTTGTGGTGATTACCATCCTGTATTTTCCTACTAGAGATTCTTGCTTTAGTGGAAAAGTATACATGGAAATTAGTAATTTTGCGTGAGGCTTGTTTCTAATTGTGTTTAATTTGTTTCATTCCGACCTTGTTTCTAATTTGTTTCATTTCGAGTTAATTGGAATAACTAATTTTTCTTCTCCCATGCAAATTGAAGAATTCTTTTGCTATCTATTAATTTCAGCTTAACTACACTCAGGTCTCACCTTTACCTACTACTCACAGGCACACACACATACACTCATACACACACACACACACTCATACACACACACATATATTATAAATATGTATATATTATTCACTACGTTCAAGCAATGTGGTTACGAGTTACAGCGGGACCTACTAACGATATCATCTTATTAACTTATTATTATTTTCAAGTTAAATGCACAAAGTTGACACCTCCAACAGTTTTGAATTAGGAATTTAGATCTCTAACTTCACTTTAGGCCAAAAGCTAAAATTTACTCTCTATTCATGTTGTTACTTTTCATGGTGCGAATCTTTATTTTTACTTGTATAGTCATATCCTTGTCCTTTTCAGTCGTTTTGGCACTTGGCCAGTAGGAATGCTAACACAAAGCAAGAATAAAGCGATATTGGAAGGCCCCGTATGCAATGGAAGTCAAGTGATAGGATGGCATACGAATGAAAAGAGCAAAAGGCTCCGAAGGTTTCATGTTGACATGTCAGGCTTTGCTTTCAATAGCACTATACTTTGGGATCCCAAGAGATGGCACCGTTCAAAGTTGAGTCCAATTCGGCAGTTAGATACAGTGAAGGAGGGTTTCCAAGTACGCAATCCTGCAAATCCATTTCTAACTTCTGTGCAAATTTGACCTGAAACTACAGCTTGAAAATCTTATCTGGACATTATCTCTTTTTTCAGGAAACTACTTTCATCGAACAGATTGTTGAAGACGAGAGTCAAATGGAAGGCATTTCTCTAGGTTGTCATCAGATAATGAACTGGCACCTCCATATAGAAGCTAGTAAACTTGTATACCCGAAAGGCTGGATGCTTCAGGGGAACCTTGAAGTAACCATTCCTACCGAGTGATATAATTTGGTCTAGCCAAAATGTCTTACCTTTCATGTTCGGTTCACAAGGTATTCGTTTCTGTTTGAAATGTTTATTTAGTTCAGAGATGTTTCTCTTGAGGAAACTTGCTTACGCTCTATTTATACAAAATGAGCAGTGCATTCTCTTACCAAAAGGTGAAAATGGACTTGGAAAGAAAGTTACTAGAGAATGTTGCCAACTTTAAGTAGAAACTTTACGGAGCAGCACGCAAGCCTCCTATGGAGAATTGCATGGGGGGATTAGATTACTGTTCCTATTCATCGTTATTTAGTCAATTCTTCGGAAGATTAGTTTGCACTCTGCAGACATTTTTTTTTTTTTTTTTTTTTTATTTGTGGTATAGTTTCTATACTTGCTTTGAGGCTACATTTAGAAGTGCTTTGAAATGTTTAGACTTAGAGAAGGGTACTGCATCTCCCTTGTGGGTCTTTATGGATTTTTAGTTGTGAGTACAGTAACGTAGGAGTTATTACCTCAAACGAGGTGACGAAGTTGCCTGTTATATTGTGGCAATGAAGAATGATTTTAGAGTTAATTTGCCATTTCCTGTGGTTTATTGAAGTCGGGAGACTTTTATTTTCTTTACTAGCTAGTAACAAGAAAAACATTCTTGCTTGGAAAAAAGTAGTTTATATTTGGTGTGGAAGCGTGTTTGATGGGAATATACGTAGGGACACTTTATGTTCATTGCACTTTATATTTTTCTTAATTAAAGTATAATGTTGTGTTGTGTGATTACTATTATTCCACTATAGCCGATTTTTTTTTTACTTATGGAACTCTAAAATACAAAAATTTTGAATCACCATTTTTACACCTTGGCAATTTCATACATCAACTTAAGTTTCTTAGCAACTCGATACACACATATAACCACTGTTGATGATGATGTGGCAAATTTTTTTAATGTATTGGACATCCAACATAAGTCCAACTCAGTAGACAGAAGTCAACTCATCCATCATATAAGTTGATTTAGCCCCATTTTTTGTCCCAAATTCACATGAAAAACCCTAGGATATCGAATGCTCCGAATTTTAGAAGGCGTGTTTTTCATCTTTTGGTGAAGATTATCGTGGACACAAACGAACGTGTTTACATCATGGTTGCAAGGTAGTTGTCGTTATTGTTTCATTTGACTTGCATTTTGCTAGGGTTCGAGTTTTTAATCTTGTTCGATTTCTCTAATATATAGATATTTGTTCCTATTGTTTGTCAATCACAATGAGAGATTTATCACTGTTGATGAATTTGAGGAGTATCTTGGTGATTGTATTGCCACAATTAGTGGGTTGGATCCAGATAATTTTGGTTAGTATGACATTGTAGAAGAAATAAAGAAATCTAGTTATGCAAACTGGGGTATAATATGTTATTAGCATCGGGGGACGTGAACATAAGGAAATACAAAATGATCATAATTCTCAAAACAAACTCTAATCCAGATCACAAAGCAAGAAAAATAAACAGAGTTTGTAAAATGCCTCATAAAAATTCAAAAGCTTGTCTTATAATTTTTCCAATTTCTTTTTTTTTTCTTAATTGTGGAAGATGAATAGCATAGAGTTGAAAAATGTATGATCAAGTTTTTCCTCTTTATTTATTCTTTAATCATTATATACTACACAAGAACCGTCAACACCTTTGAAAAGCTCTACATTTTTTACTTTAAAATGATAAACAGTATGTGTGCACGAGATATTGAATACAGCGGATCTAAAGTCCCAACGCCTATATGATTGAGTTTGTATTTTCAATCCTCTCTAAAAATTTAAAAACTGGAAAGGAGAACAAAATTTGTGAGCTCCAGTCTCCCAGTACCTGTGCCGACTCTGGGCCGCTGTCATAGGTGTTCTGCTCTTGGTTGATTGAGTGTAGAGTTTCCAGATCTAGAAGCCTTCATTGTGGTCTTCTTCATCTCGAGTAGCTGTCATTGGATTTATGGTTTGTGATGGTGGTAAATGTACATATTATTTTGTATAGAACAAGTAGTCATGCAAACAACTTGTTTGATTTAGTTGGATTAGTAATTCCCTGTCATGTAATTATTTGCTTTATTAATATATCTATTACTTTTCAAAGCAGCATTAAAGCTTCCCATAGTTCTTGACTCAGTCTGTTAAACGGTAAGGAGCCCCATAGTTCTTCCCACTGATTTTGCAGAAGGAGACAGATTCAGCACATCCTCCCTCCGACGAGAAGGTAACAGCATCACCTTCCCCAACTCTTGAAACATATGTGTAATGTGAATTGATAAAGAAGATACCATGTCACGGAAAGATCGACGGCGTGACCTTTGATTGTCATCATCCTTTCTAGCACTAGACTCAGTCAAATCCAAGGAACTTGACCCATGCTGTTCCAGACCTGGTTCAACCGGCAAGTTTAACAGTGGATCAACAACCTGCTGATGCTGACGACTCGACGGCCGACTAAAATCACGATACCAATTTATAAGTTCGGAAAATTGTGACTCAAAGCTCCATCCCGATGTTCTCCTTCTAAGCACAGGATCAAGAAACTGCGTGAAGTTCAGCCTGGGGTCTTCAGTATCATTCAAGCCCCACTCAGACTGCTGTGAGGCATGAACTCTATCAGTCGATTCATCTTCTGCTGCAACCTTCACGTCTTCAAGCAATGCAATTTGCCAAAGAACTTCACGATGAACATGACCGATATCTACTAGCACATCTTTTTCACCATTACCAAACTCAGTGAATAACGCAGTTAACCAACGACTATCTTTTGAGGCAGCAAGAAACAAGGCGAACTCGATCAGGGATAGAGAAGAAAATAATAAAGGGTCTGGACTGGCCTTAGGATCTAACAGAAAGGAACCAGAGAGGTTACTAAACCTAGCCAGAGTTTCTTTCAAAAGATCACGCAGCGAAGAACAGATAGCACGAGCCAGACGACTGGAATGTTGCTGCGTAAAACACTTGAATACCACAGTGCAATTCAAAGCTATTGACATTCCTTCTGATGATTGAGTAATGCTTGGGCGTAACAGAAGTTTCAGCACAGCTTCAATACCAGATTTCTCCACAAATAAGCGACAGGTTTCAGAATTTTCCATCGTCTTGTGAAGTAATACAATTACATGAAAGATGCAAAGTTGCATACACTGCTGATCACTGATACCATCAACAGGACAGTCTGCTATACCAATTTCTGAGCATCCACTTAAGTTTTCCATACCCCCTGATTCCACAGAATCCATGTCCATTTCATCGGTTTTTCTAATCGACCCCTTCAACTTGGCATCAGCAAGCAATGTAGCGCTGTTAATTATTTCAATTATAAGATCAACACCACTACCTCTCAAAGAAGATACATGCCGCAGCAGCTCTTCCAAAGCATTTGACAAAGGAACAATGGCTTCATTTACCACCATTACATACTTCCTATCAGTAAAGATCTCAACAAGGAAGCGTAAAGCAGAAGTTTCTCTGACAGCTTCCAAGCCCTTGGAGTTGAGGCAAACAGCCCCAAGACCATTTGGAATACATGTGATGGCTTTGGAAGAAGGAAGTATTCCAGCCACAACTGATGAAAGGAATGCCGCAGGAAGACCCAAGTCATACAATGCATTAAAACATGTTGGATCTTTGTGAATCATTTCACTCATAAGAGTAACAGCTGCCGAAAAGATCTCACCTCCAAACTTTACCTTGTTGCTAAAAATCATCAACAAAGTGGGAGCCAAGGCCGCATCATAAGAATTCTGAGAGTGCACAGAATTCGCTGTGGCATAAGTGGCAGAACCAAGGGCCTTCAACAAAGCTCTGACCAATCTCTTCTGAGTGTAGGACTGAGTATATTCAAAATAGTCATCTGTGGTCACAGTATTATCCTTTGAGCCAGTGAAATCAATCAATCTATGTGCTTCAACCTGCAGTCTACGAATCAAAAGCTCAATTCCAGCCAAGTCACTGAAAAGGGTGACAGCTGTGTTGCTGTAGTCCATTAGCTTCTGTAAAATTTTCACAGCTATACAAACAAGACGCAAGTGTGTAGGATTTGAATCTTCTAAAAGTGGCAAAAAGGTGGTCACCATCCCCGATCCCCTAACAACAGTTCCAGTACTAGCAGAAGATATTACATGCAGCAAAAAAAATTGCAGCAGGGCTTCAACGAAGACAATGGATGACAAATCAATGGGGTTGTTCAGCGATAAAAGTGCCCTTTGCAAGACATTAAGGACAATCATGAGGAAGCCATCAGCAACAATGATGTCCAATGCACTCAATATTCGTGCCCTTTTATGACATGCAGAATATGCAGCTACCTGTGCTCCCAGTGCTGTCACTGCTAGGGTCTTCATGGTACCAGATACAATTTCTTCAGACTTCACAATTCTAATCAATTCATTTGCATATTCCGGATCATTATCGAAAAAGGAAGCAAGTTCATCATGAGCATCACTTGACTGTACAAGCACAATAAAAGCAAGAAGAGAAATCTTGCTGTAAATCCTGCACATTCTAGAGGAACGGAATGCACGAGCATATCTGATTCTGGATAACAACGGAAACCTGAGCTGGAAAGGCACCTTATACTGCAGAATACAGAACTTCATGAGTGACAGGTCATCTTCTTCTCGCAAATGAAGATCCGGGAGCTGAATTACACTAGACCCAGTAGATAAAGTCCCACGCAACTCAAAATACAGTGTGGACCCTAGGCGATTGCAGCTTGTCACAATCATTTTGTACCTCAGATGGAAACAAGCATAATGCATCCTCCTCAGACCTCTCATGTAGAGAAACACAAGAATACAAGCCCAGGCCTTCTTCTTTGCTACCCCAACCTTGTGCAAGTGGTAAAAGGTAACTGTTCACAGACCCACATCCAACCAGCTTTCCATTTACGTGCAATTTCGATGGGATTATTTTCACATATGCACAAAGAGCCTCCAAAGCTGCTATAAGAACATCCGGATCTGTTGAAGCAAGCAAAAGCTTCAAATGCTGGAGATAAAGAAAGCGGAGAGTTTAGCAGATATTAAATATGCCAGAACTATAGTACCAAAAAGTAAAATAGTAACAATGCAAATACAAGTAAGAAACAATGTTCTAATAATCTTTACCCTCATAATGTACTCTACAGAATAGTAAATACCAACCAAACCAATAGTAAAATTTAGCTTCACCAATGAACAGGATAACATAAATTGCAGTCATCAACTCACCTCTATAGCAGCGAAAGAACTCTTATTGTGGCAATTTTCTAGAATAATTTGCATAACTCTCACTGTAAAACTGCCTGTTTGGGGAATGGGCTGACATCACCTAAAATGTCATCTGCCAGAAGGAGATCATTTCTAGAAGATAAATAGGCCTTGAAATATGAATGTAGAAATAGTGATCTCCAATGGTTGAAGTTTCCCTGAAACAAAAGACGAAATGAGAAAAAGAAAAATTGTGGAAATAGAAGAAGCATTAACAAGAAAATTCAGAAACCTTTCCATATTCCCAACGGAAACCAGAAAGAGGAATCGCTATGTCCTGCAAAGGGCACTGGATAACCTTTTCAACAAAAGCCTTTATCCTTGAAGCTGCATCAAGAGTAAGTAATCAAGGTTTAGTGATTAGACAAGAAATCAAAAGAGTGATAGGAGATGTGGGCACACACAACTGAGAGTTCAAGATATGAGGTAAACATCATAAAACTAAGGCTTCAACATATTTCCCATTCACGTATCAAGATTCTATAACCGGAAAACATGCACACGCATACATATAAGGATGTTGGGTAGGAGGTATAAACCTGATGAAACATATATTTTACAAAGTACCCTAACTTTTTGCTCAAACGTGACCTAAATAATAATTAATAGCTCAATTTATAGCTAATGACATGAATTACAAGGACTGACAACACATTAAGACAACCTGATTTTGATGCATAATACTGTAAGAATCATCATTTATTTTGAGCTCAAATAAAATATATAGTTATATCTGCCAAGCATAAATAAATAAATAGACTTGACACAGAATACACAGAGTGTCGTTGGCAATGATCATTCTTAAGGGTAAGACAACAAGACATGCATACGATTAGAAGTAAATTGGCGAACATACATATAGAATAAAATTTGGATCCTTCCATAACAAACAGTCCTTCCAAGAATAAATACCTCAGGCTTAAGTGCCTAAGTCACACAAGTTTGGGGCTCAAATTAATAAAGCCAGATTTATCTTTATACATGCAATACAATACTGTTGACTCCCATAATTATGGAGCATTTCAAGTCCTGGGCTAAGACTAAGCAGCACACATTGCTAGTTTCCTTCCCACATTTCGTGACTTAGAATTTTAATGTACTTCCTAAATTAGTTAGACAAGTTTAGAATTCCTCACAATCTCAACCCTACAGATAAATGCAGGACAGAATAAAATTCTGATCCTTCCATAACAAACAGTCCTTCCAAGAATAGATACCTCAGGCTTAAGTGCCTAAGTCACACAAGTTTGGGGCTCAAATTAATAAAGCCAGATTTATCTTTATACATGCAATACAATCCACTGTTGACTCCCATAATTATGGAGCATTTCCAAGTCCTGTGCTAAGGCTAAGCAGCACACATTGCTAGTTTCCTTCCCACGTTTCATGACTTATAATTTTAACGTACTTCCTAAATTAGTTAGACAAGTTTAGAATTCCTCACAATCTCAACCCTACAGAGAAATGCAGGACAGTTTAGATATTGGGTAAAGAACTTTCCGCGAGATATTAATTCTTTGCAAAAAGAGTGGGAAGTAAAGGATATTAATGATTTCTGACACCATAGACCCAATGTTCTTTCACATAGTCATCAATATTAATCTAACATTCCCAAATTAAAAGATCACAATTGGTCATACATGGAGACCTTTCAAGTTTATTCTCATGATGCTCTTTCTGCCTCAGGGAGTCAGAATGACATACTTTTCAATATATATCAACAGTAGTAGGGTTTTTCCAATGATCTTTCAAGCATTTGAAGAAAAAGATTTATAAAAAAAAGTCAATGTTGGTGTTCTACAGGTTTTTAGGAAATCTAGACTGCAATTTCCCAGAAGACCAACACAATATTTTGAAAGATAGCACCCATCCATACTTATGCCAGCAATAGGATGTTTCACAAAAGTTGAGTTATTGTAAGTAAAAAGTTGTGCCTTCTCCCGCATTCATCTTTGGATAATAAAGGTTTCTATCCTGCCTCTATAGGGGTTAGGCTTAGGAAAGCATCAACAGCAGTCCACATGACGTCAACCACAGTGTATATAAATAAAGAATTGAGATGATCGAATCACTAAACCCATCTCACAAATAGACCAAGTTCCTATTTTCAATGAAGGATTTCTAAAAAGCACAAGTCATCCAATAATACAATCAATTCTTACCTCATCCTTATATAACCTTAAATGCCCAACTAGATAAATTCCTAAAGCATTTTTCACATGTCAATGCAAATGAACTAGAAAATAAGTATCGGTAAATAGGCAGTACGTCAATCAACATAAAACATGAATCAGAAATGCACTTGTGGGATTACCCAACATTATATACTATTAATTGACAAGGAGAAAAAAAAAAGAATAAAATGAATTCTCTTCATCTAATTTTCTAAATCGACAAATGATCCGTTTCAAGCTGACCTCCAGTTAAGTTTTAGCAACTAAATGACCAACAAACTTTCTTCAGATCACCAAACGTCACTATGATAAAGGTTATCTCCGGAAATTCCAGTTCCACTACGTAATAAGCAAGTTTTTCACAATCTAATCTCCGGCTAGTGTATGGTGGAAACTCCAAGAAGTAATCCACAGCATAATTGTATTCTTTTTATCATCATCGCGATATTAAACCCAAATTCAACAAGTACATAAAACCCAAAAAAAAAAAGGAAACAAAAATGAAGAGAACATACAGGCTGGGGATCAATTTGAACAGCGGGGGCACCAATTGCCCCATCACTAGAGATAAGCTGCCGAAGCCTCGACGGCAAGCTTGATCTTATGCTCGCCATTTTCCTTTACCGTTTGCTACTCTACGAACTGCAGTAAGACAACGAAAAGGNCCTAACGATGTCCTGGTTAATTTGAGAAGATCCTCCATTGATATTTCCGAACATAAAATCCATTATAAAAAGCGTGAAAATCTGTTTCCTGCACAAGAATGGAAGGAATTCAAAATCAAGGCTGTAAGGTTTAAACACACAACACGTTAAAGTCCGTGTCATGCAGACCTCTAAAAATATGCAGCATCATTTTGAGGACGAAAAAAAAAAAAAAAAAAAAAAATCTTTAAAGAGTGCATATAAAATAAGAAAGTAAAATAATTTTTTTATTTATTACACAATTTGGAACACTTTTTTAAATACAACATTCGTAGAGAAGAAGAATCGGGCTCATTATGACTCGTCATCACAAATAACTAGTGAGAATCTCGTGCGATGTACGTGGGTTTCGTACCTTAGACCATTTTTTCAACCATTTTTTCAAAATTTTATTTTAATATATACTAATACAATACTCATGTATTACATGGGTGGGGACGGTGCCTCATCCCGGACAGATCATGGACCGATTCATAAAAGTGGGATGGGTATCCGGACAAGTCAAATCCAGGACCGTCCCGACCGTGCCCACTCTTACCATAAATAATCAACATATTTATAAATAATCCGAACCTAAATATTTTTAGATTAGAAGTAAATTAAATCTATCCAAGCCTAACAACGAAGCATGTAATTTTGCCACATAGGATCTCGAAGCATGCGAGTCTGCCACATAGGCTCAACACGTTCTGAATTAATATATAAAGGGGAAAGGGGATAAGCCCGTTGACTTGTTTACTAGTATATATCCCGTGCGATGCACGGAGGAGTTCATATTTTAAACTTTTTTTTAGACTTATGTTGATAAAAAATATGATATTAATTAGTTTGTTAGAATGTGATTATATGAAAATCAAGATAAAATGAAATTTACCCAAAAAAATCTGTTTAGGATATTTTTCTTTAAATGTTTGAATTTAAAATTTTAATACCGAATTTAAATTATATCACATAAGGAAAAAATAAATAATAATTTTTTATTAATATATTAAAATATGTAATTCTGAATTTCATATAAAGTAAAAGGTATGATAATTCAAATTTATTTTTAAAAATTTTCTAAAATAATTAATATTTTAGTAATTATATCGTAAGAATAATCGTATAATTAATTAAACTAGTTTTTGTCCTGTGCATTTGCACGGAAAACTATATGATACATGAAAAAATAATAAAAATTATAAACAATAATAAAAATCATAACAAATTCATTGAAAAAAATTAAGAAAAAAAATATAAATATTCTTAAACACTTCTTTATAAAACAACGTCGTTGTTTTTCTATCGTCAAAATCTCCCTCAGCTCAAATCAAAATCTTCAAACTCCACTGACTCGTAACTCTAAAAAGCGCCACGTATAATTGCTCATGACTAAATGCAGAGCTCTTCAGGAGTAAGCCGACGTGCGACAGAGACTGTCTTTGACTCTTATTGATCATGGGCAAAAATTAAAAATTGGTCCTACAATTTAGCCACTGTCCAAAAAACCACCCCGATATTGACCACTTTCAATTTAGGTCATATAATTTGTCAATTTCATCAATTTTGGTCCTTTTTTATCCGCACCCTGGATTAAAAAGTGACGTGGCATGAAAAAAGGACCAAAATTGATGAAATCGACAAATTATAGGACCAAAATTGACGTGCCACGTAGATCATAACCACGCCATGTAAAATTAAAAAACTGACACGTCATGCCACGTCACTTTTTAATCCAGCGTGCTGATGAAAAGGACCAAAATTGATGAAATCGACAAATTATAGGACCTAAATTGAAATTGGTCAATATCGGGGTAGTTTTTTGGACAGTGGCCAAGTTATAGGACCAATTTTGAAATTTTGCCTTGATCATGTCATAGCATAGGAAACACTTCTTTATATTGTTTGTCCTTGACTCTTATTGATTGATAAAGATTGTCCTTGCTTCTTAATAAAAAAATACCATCTAAATATAAATGAGTAAATATAATATTAATTTTGTATATAAACAAAAAATTTAAAGTAATTGATAATGAGTATAGAATTACCCTTGCGGATTCAAGTTATTTCAACGATGTTCTTTTTATATATATAAGATTTAATTTTTTTTCTGATTTATATGAATATAAGCACATTTGACTAATTTTTATAAAATTTATTGAAAAAAGTTACTATTTTTTTGAAAAACTGATAAATATTAAGATAATACTGTACTTAACATAAATGTGGGATTAATTAAAATAAATCTTTTTAATTTAGTCATTAACTAACTAAATTTAACTATAAAAAACCTTCTTAAATGTGAGATTAATGAGTAATTAATTAAAAAAAATGTAACTTCTTTTGGAGGGAAAGTGAAAATATTTTTATTAAATGTTTTATTAAATGGGATTAGCTAGCAATTATATATATATAGATAAAATATTATATTAATTATATCTTAAAATACTTGATTAGATAACTTGGATAAAAAAAATTATTATATTAATTAGTTATTAGGAATGTGTTTATATGGAAATTAAGATAAAATAGAATGTTCCCAAAAAATCGACCTCTTTTTATTCATGATAAGGGAAATGCTCACATGTCCACGGTGGCCACATGTTAATATGCCCACCGACTTATGTGGCATGCACACATTGGTGATGTATTTTTTTTAACATATTAACATCACCAATGTGTGCATGCCACATCAGTGGTGGGCATATTAACATGTGTCCACTGTGGGCATGTGAGCATTTCCCTTCATCATAATACTCAACTATTATTTTATTTTAAGATTTATTGTCACATGATATGTATTTGAATAATAATTATATGCAAAATATTATAATTAATTAAAAATTTTAAGTGGACACTTTTAAATAAATCATATCATGTTTATCATTAATAAGACATATATTCGATGAGGCAAAAACATTGAGTAAAATAACTGGGCCTATTTTTTGAACCATCAATTCCATTAACAATTAAAAAAATAGTCCAAAGTGTGGCCATTGATGAAACCCGGTTTTGTTAAGAGATGACAGGCCCTTTATTCCAAAGTAAACAGATCGACGGCTCGGAGTAACCCACAAAATCCGATGGCTGAAAACAGAAGCTTTTACATATAAAAGCTAGAAAAGTGAACCCTAAATCATTTTCAGATTATTCCTCAACATTATTGCTGCAACACCTTCTTCCTCATGATTTTGGGTCCATTTTTACGAAAAAATCACCAAAAATAGAAATGTTAGCCTACTATCCAAATTTTGCTACCTCGACAGCCAAAATGATCGAAATCAATCTCTATCTTTATTTTTTTTTGTCAGTCGGAGCTCCTCCCTGCCCGGCGGCTCTGCACCCAACCCGCACAGCAGCTCCTCCTTCTGGATCGTCCGTGTCGATCATCTTGAACGCCTGCTTGAGCTCGAGGTACACGTCGGCGGAGATCTCGGACCACTCGTTGGCGGAGCCGGAGGGGAGGACGGTGGTCGGCGTGGCCAGGTCGCCGCTGCCCTTCTTTTTGTATACATCCTCGGAAGAAGCCGAGGAGGACGTCGACTGGGAGCTGAAAGACGGAAGATCATCTTCGGATCTGGAAACGGATCGAGATTTTTTGGGCCTGAACTGCTTGCCGGGTATGATCTTGACGAGTTTCATGGCGGAGATGAGAATCCAACGAAGGTGAGAGAGAAGAAGGCAAGCAGAGAGAATGAGGATGTGGAAAATTGTGGTTTGAGGGAAAGAGGGGAGGAAGGAGAGAAGTTAAAATGGTGCGAGGAAGTTAGAGGGAGAGAGATAATTTTTTTTGGCAGAGATAATCAAAGGATAAATTAAAATAAATCTATAGTGAATCTATCCTAAAATTTAACTGCATAATCGGATCACAAAATATCAACCAACTATTTTAAATAAAATTTGAGAGGGAAAAAAACAATTTGAGCGGGAACTGAAATAATTTTTTCAAAGTTTTTCAAATAATTTTTCTTCTCCGTATTATATATTAATAGATATTAATATAAATATTATTTTAACATATATATTTATTTTTTAATACAAAATAAATAATAATATTACATATTTTTGTTCATCATAATACTCAAATATTAGTTTATTGAAAAATTTTATTGTCATATAATGTCATTCTTATTTATAACACTTATAGAAGTAATATATTTTTTTATATAATGATAAATATTTAATGTATATTAATATTATTTATTGATGTAGTTAATTTAAAAATAAATAAACAAATTTAATATTTGTTAGGAATGTGATTATGTGTAGGTTAAGATAAAATATGATCAAGGTAATCAATCTTCTTCCAAAAAAAAAAGCGTCTTCCTCCTCGAGAAACCTAATTCCCAAAACCTCGTCGGCGTCTTCCTCCTCTTTCGATTGCGATTGGCCTTCCCCGGCTATGGCGGGGCTCCGGCCAGTAGTCATCCTTAACCGATTGGCCCTCCCTGTCGTCACCTGCCTCTGATTTTGCTCTATATGGCCGAATCGGAGAATCTCGTCACAACCCGTCCTTCGCTTCAAGCGGGGCTTGTAGGCTCGGGTCGTCGTTCTGGTCCAGTGGGTGCTGTGGTGAGGTTGTCGATCTGGTTTTGTCGGCGTCGTCATCGCTCTGGTCCAGCCGGGGATTGTGGGCTCGGCGGAGTGCGATGTCGAGGCTCTGGTTCTGTGTCTGTGGTGTTGGGTCAGGGTGCGTGTCGGTGGGTGGGGCGTAGCTCGGATGGTTTCGATGTTTTGCGTCGGGGCTGTCGGTACGCTGAGGGACTATGTCCGCCGTCTTCTCTTCCTTGGTCTTCTGGTGCTGGAGACGGAGGGGATCTGGGGCTACCGAGTTCGGCTAGTGGTGTTAGAAGAGCTCGGGACGCCACGGTTTTGGGAGCCGGCTATGGTTTCTCCGGTTGGGGATGGGCCAATTTCGGGTTTGATTCGGGGTTCGGGTGCGGCTTCTGTATAGGCGGTTCGGCAGTTTCGGAAGCAGTCT